CTACATCGTTGTTAGCTCGCCTGCTGCTTTCAGTAACTATCTTTACTATTTGTGTATCTTTCATCGGAGGCTCAGCAATGTCAGCACGGCTAAACGTGTTGGATGATAAGGAAACGGTTAGTGAGCTGGATTGAATATTATAATGAGATTGTGTCACACTAACAGTTAGACTGTAACTTTACTGTAGAGTTAGTGGATGGCTCTTCCTCTGTGTTGCTGTCGCTTTTTTTTTGCAGTACTGAATATTATGTGGGTCATGTTAGTTACAGCGACCGATCTAAATTGAACGTTCCGAAGCAAACAGCGGCAGGTCCGAGCTAATGTAGCGTTAGCTGGCTACCCTGCCTGCATCACCACAGGCTAGTAAACAAATCGCTCCACATTTGCTTTTTACCGTTACATAATTTTTGCAGGCTAAATCAACAATTGGACATAATACCAGTGGTACACAGGATAGTTATATATATGTGGAAAGCGATAATGTTACAACTTTGCACTGGATAATGTTAGTTACTGCTCCGCGTTAGCCGGCAAGCTAACGTGACTTTCTCTGTATTTCTCCAGCTTCTTTAATGTTCACTGTGTTTTTACTCGACATCATCTGAATCTGTTTGGTCTGATGGTAAGGTGACCAGATTTCTGACACGAAAATCGGAGACATTTCTGGTTTGGTGGTCAGTATGTTATTATGAAATAAAAAAGGGGGACGATTTCGGTTTTTATAATCTGTCAAATATAACTCTGAATGAAATCAAGTCATTTTGAGGCAGAAACTACCTTTCAGTCAATCAGTAGAGGCTGCAATTACTTTCTGGCAAGTAGAATAATGCAATCTGTGTGTGGGTGTGTGTGTGTGTGTGTGTGTGTGTGTGTGTGTTTGGCCATTTAAAGGTATTTCAACAGGTAAAAAGGACTGGATTGGTTGGTACACAGCTAGTTAAATAATGTAGAGTCATAAGGATAATTGCAAAAGAGGTCTTGTCTTTATTTTATATATAACTCAGCAGTAATTCATATTAATAAGTGTTGTGGTGGCAGCCCGGCTGACGGTAAGTGTCTTGTTTATTCCTCCTTTTCTTGCTTGTGATTCTGTTTTCCCCTGGTATTGTGTTTTCCTGTACTCTGCCTGCCTCCCTGTGTCTCCTCCCCTACGTGTGCTCTCCCTCTCTCTCTCCCTCCGCTCCTGAGCCCAGCCAATGACCCGCACCTGCGCCTCGTCAGCCACCTCCTCTGCCTGCCACACCTGACAGCAATCAGCCTCATCTCTGACAGTACTTCTACCCTGGTTCTCCAGTCAACCTCTGCTTGATTGTCGTTGCTCCTTACCCGGTGCCACTTCACCACTCAAGCTCTGAGTATTCTGTGTCATTTCTGTTTCCCTGTACTCTGTTTTCCCTCTGTCCGTCTCCCCTCCAGGTTCAATCACCTCCGTTCCGTCAGCTGGGCTCGCCACCCTGCCCTCTCCCCTCTCCCACCTCTTCCATGGCGTCCTCCCGGCTCCTCCCCATGCCTCCTTACTTCCTCGGTCCCCAGTGCCCCTGGCTCCCTTGTCTCAGTCTCCTTGGTTCCCCGTGCCCGTGTTTCCCCGGCGTCCGCCTCTCCCTCAACCCTTTTTCCCCCTTCAATAAAGCCTGTTCATCCAGTTGAGTCTGTTTCAGTCAAGTTTGTTTGATCCAGTTAAAAGCAGCTGCAGTCGTAAAGAGACTGGGTGATACAGCTTTAACATTTTGCGCGTGCTCTGGCGGACAGCAATCAGTTTTCAGCGATCACTTTTCGGCACGACACCTGTACGTTCTGCTGTCTTTCTGGCCACTTAAAATCTGGTTTACCTTATACAGTCTATGACACACAGTTTAAAAACGTGCGCAGAGCTGAATCCAACCCCGTGTCCTCACATTAAAAGCAGAATAGTGGCTGATGCAAGCAACAAAGAAAAGGCCTGTGCTTCATTTCTAAGTGAGTTTTGAGCCCATTGACATTAAGGCACTGATAATTTGATTTATTAATAATTAATTTCATTGAAACTACATATAGCCCCTTTTAAAAATAGTAAGTTATAATAATATAAAATATTATATAAACAAATACTGTTTTACAAAATTTTAAAAGGTCTTTATAGATACATCTACATTATACTTTGTTATAAACCATTTATTAAATGTTTGTATACTGCTTATGAATGCTAAATAGTGGGACTTTTTATTAGAGAGACTGAACCCAGAAAATGTTTGCCATTTTTGCTTGTGATGTATTAAACATTTGAGTTTGGTATTTTGGAAACTCCAGTCTGTGCAAGGGATGCTGGGCTATCCTGTGAACTGTGGAAACACATGTTAAGTAACCCCGCCATGTAGAACCGTCTCCCTTGTCTTATGGTATATACCACAATAAATTTATTAAATTAATCGATTACAAAATTGTAGATTAATTAACTGTAGTTTGACTTATTGATTAATCAATTAATTGTTTTGGGTTCTAAAAAGATGCTTTAGACTAATTAACCCTAAAAGAAAAAGCTGCACCAGTTGTGAGACGATGTGTTAAGTACTTGCTGTTTGTAGTGGTACAGATAATGGCTGTTTCATGGTGTGCAATTGATCACTTCTACCTAGCTGACATTTAATGTTTGAAATAAACACACATGTTTTTCCTGATAATGACCTTTAAAGGGAAGCTACTCAAATTGTGTTAATGTTCTATAAAAAGGTACTGAGAAAACAAACATGATTAGGCTGTTCCTGTCTACTGCTCTGTTATCTGTAGACAGGAACAATAAGTGATATGCATACATTTGTGCATCCACATTCCACAAAAGGCTAAATGATTTGTGTGTCAGCTATACATTTTGTATTTTGCTCTTAAATTTTTAGTTTAACCAGCCATTATGCCAAAATTTGGAGGTTGTTCTCTGGTAAATAGATGCAGTGTGTGCCAGATGGAGGAAACCTCAAGTCTGTGTAGGCTGAGAATAAAAAGACTTAAAAGTCCTATAAATAGAAGGAAATGCATGAGAGACTGCTGAACTCTATCAGGAGCTGCACAAGATGGTTGTGGGTGTGAGTATAAATGGTAAATGGACTGTATGGACTGCAGAATGCTGAGGAATGAACCACCGACTTCCTGATTAGCGGACCACCCACTCTACCATCACAGCAGCCTCATGTGTGTGCATGTGAGAGAGAGAGAGAGACGTGTCTACAGGGACTTGTTCCAGTAACATTTTATTGCAAGTCACTGAACAACCTGCTGCTGTGTGAGCAGCCTCAGTAACCCTAATGATTCACTCTATCCTTTTTATTATCTCTGCCAGCTCTTTGAGATTTCTACTCCTAGTTTTTTCCACACTTACAACTGAGACTATTTCTTTGTCTTTTCATCAGGTGTCTCTAGCTGCTGTTTGTCTCTGGAAGAGTTTACTGAACACACATGCTGCTGTTGTACGGCAAGGCTCTGCTGCACAGTCAACTGAATTCACATTTTCCTCTAAGACCTGCTCAGTACAACCCCATAGTACAGCTGAGCTGGGTAAGAAACTGCCTTACGAGCACCTTGGTGGTAGTATTGAAAGATTGTGGTGGTCCTGATTCCCCAGGCCTCAGGAGAAAGGTGACTGAGGCCCAATTCCCAACATAATAAATGAAAATAAAATATCCCCTTGGAGAAAGTATTTTAATGAAAAAATCTCTTCAATGAAGGTAAAAGAGTAAAACGAACAATTAAAATAGCAGCAAATACCTACAGACTGCCACAAGATGACATTACCTAATTACTTTTTATTACTGAGCTAAAACTTCTTTATCTTTACCTTTCTGTTTCTAGCTAATCCTTCTTTTTGAATTTGATGTTGTTGGGAAATAGTGAGCAGGTTTTGTTAATTACTGATAAACAGACCTTGTGCAACCTGAGAAACATTTTTACACAAAATCTTGACTAAAGGTCTACAGCCATGCTGGAGGCTCTTTGAGGCTGTACTAATTCTTTTAGCTAAATGATAATATCATGCTAAATGCTAACATGCTTACATGCTCACAATGCCCAAATTAACATGCTGATGTTTAGCAGATGGGCTTAAATCTTGCATGTTAATTATTACTAAACACAGAGCACAGCTGATGCTGATAGGAATAATTTGATTGTCAAACCAATGATGAATTAAAATCAAGGGATCACCAAAGTCAGCAGGATTCAGTCTCTGGGGAACAAATATCTATACCAAATCACATGGCAATCCATCCAATATTCGTAGAGATTTCAGTCTGGATATATGTTCATTGTGATCATTTAAATATAAACCTGTACTGAAATCAGTGGATGCACAGACGGTAGAAATGATCCTTTTTGTTGTGTTTTGGAATTATACTAACTTTCAGCTTCCCACTTAGATTTTTCTTCATTGCCCTCCACTGAAGGTGGATCTCTATCACTTGCTTCTGGATGTATCTAACAGATCTTGGGCTGAGTCTGCTGTGTGAGCCCATTGAGACACTGCATGATATTGCAGCTTACAAAGAATCTTGAGTTTCATTGAATAAGATGCTAAACCTTTACCTACAATAGGTTATTCACTCTGGCAAAGACAGTTAAAATCCTAATCCACAGAACCAGACAGACCAGTCACCACTGTGTGACTGGTCTGTCTGGTACAGCCAGTGCTGAGAGGTCAGCACGACAGTTTCACTGAAACTGGAGTAGTTTCATGCACACTTGGCAAACCAACACTTGTGAAGTTTTCCATGACAATGCACTAAAAGCACACCACCTACACACTTACAATCACACACACGCACACGCGCACACACACACACACACACACACAAAGAGTCACTGAGGCTGAACAATAAGACCAATGTACCACCAATTAATTTTCCCTAACAGGCTTCGTTCACTTAAAAAAGAACAAGGACTGTTATCAGACAGAGAGGGGGAAGATGAGACAGTAACCGTGAGTGTAGGTGTAAATGTATGCATGCATTAATGTAATGTGTGTGTTTGTGACTCACTGTGGTCGTGTGCAAATACCAGCAGGGACAGTTCCTTTAGTCTCTGTGCAATCTCATCGTACGGCCCGCAGTGCTCCCCAGCTCCATGGGCAATAAACACCAGAGCCCTGAGAGGAGGAAGAGGAGAGGGAAATGTTAATTCAAGTGTACACAAATATAGACCTACACTTGTCCTCCTATTTTCTCTTTATCTCTCACACACAGAGTCAAACAAACAACAAATCATTAAATATTTTTCTCAACGGGAAAATTATTATTATTTTTGCCTCAGTACAGGACTTTATTGATCGAGACATGAAGGGGAGGGGAGCAGTGAGATGGAGGGACTGATGGGATGTATGGGATAAATATCCTGCCATGTTTCAAAACTGAAAATAAAGTTCTTAAAGGCTGAAACTAAGTGTTCACTCAATCTTACGAAAACTAAACTAAGATTTGCAGGCTGCAAACATTATGTTTTTGAGTTTTCCTTCTTCAGAACTGCAGGTTCTTTTTATGTGTTTCAAATTTGTCACTGTTCTCCCAGTGAATTTGTTTGTTTTCCAGGTTTGAAACCTTGAAAATGGTGATCTGAAAACAGGTGTGCAAATATGTGAAAAGTTTTAAAACTGAAAAAATTGAGGTTCAAAATAGCCAAACTTTATTACATTACACTCGCACTCGTATTGCAGACTGTTTTCACTTTGCAGAGATACGGCCACACAGTTGCAAGCTTGCAACTCACGTGATTTGTGGCTGTGTTGTCACGCAGCTCTTCTCTGAAACTCGAAAATGAAGCTTTGCAACTGACGAGTCAGGGTATTCTGCTCTTGGCCAATACTTGGCTGTCTGCTGAAGTAAAGTCCAATCACAAGTCGTATTTACTGGATAGAGGGATTGACAGGATACGTTTTCAGGAAACACGGCTCCCTGGATGGGCTAATTGTCTCCATCCAAGCGGTGCATGGATGTGGAAAGAAATCTGCAACGGGTAGAAGCTCCGGGCGGTTTGTTCATCAGCGCGATGTCACCCATGGTTTTGTGTTGGGAGATGCAGTAACTGAATCAGCGGTGAGTAAGACATAGAAAATAATACATGTAAATCGTTATGCTATGAGGAGAGGAGAAGTCCGCTAGCTGATAGGCTAATTTATGCTGTGTAAAATGCAATATAGGCTTAAACTATAAATGGAGACTATCAACCAGACAAATTCTTGACAGTTATTAAGCCAAAATGTATGCTTTTGTTAAACATCATTCTTATTAAACCATGTTCTTTGTGTGGTAGTGGAGTCAATTAAAAGTTAACTTTACTGCACTTAACCAGTAAAAACTAGCTGTGTTTTCATCCTGAAGTTCATTGTTAATGTCTACAGTGAACAGTGATAACAGATGGTTGCCATTCATCAGTTCACCCTCAAAGACACCTTTGGATGTAAAGGCAACTACTTTAGCATTTATCACTAACATTAACTAAACTGACTCACAATCATCTGATTCAGCTGTCAAATTCTTTTTGGTGTAGCAAATCCAGACTAAAGAACAATGGCACTGGGGCTGATAATGTACAATGAATAAAACTACTTACATTTCAACAAATACAGCTGTTTGTTACAGAGTACTTGTACTTCTGTTGCACTCTTAAACACAGAACAAACACCACTGGGCAAGTAAGAGTTTGCAGCAGTGAGGTATTACTTTACTCTATTTTCTTACTCTTGATGTGCTGTCTCTTTGCACTTTACTGAGCACTCTACTAGAATCAGCTGAGCTCAAACAACTGGGTGTGTGTCCCACCCACTGAAACCAACCTTTTGTCTTGGTAATTTGGAGGGTGGTCTCAGCTGGGTGCAATCAGTCTGGGAGGGGGGTGGGACTGGGCTCTTAATTTCCAACAAATGGAAATTCACACGGTTGCTACCGCCAGATGAGGCATGTTGCCACATTTGGCGACATCCTTGTGAAGATTAATTTTTCTGGCACACAACACAAGAAACAGAGGGCAGTAGGGGAGGGACAGCAGGTTACTAAGATCCAATACTTCTCTGGCTTCGGGAACATTCCCGACCACATTCAAAAGGTCTCAGGTTAAACCCTTGCTCAAAAAGCCCTCCCTCAATCCTACTCAAGTTGAGAACTATCGGCCAGATTCACTTCTACCATTTTTATGCAAAGTTATCAAATGGGCAGTCTTCAAACAGGTCTCAATTCTTCTCACGGAATGACCTCCTGGATCCATATCAGTCTGATTTTAAGAGCTCCTGGGTCTGCACCCATCTACCTTAACTCCATAATAGTTTGGCTCTGCCATCTCTACACACAAAGCAATCCCAGTCATGTCTGTTCTCATCTGTAACACCACAGTGGTGGAACAAGCTCCACATGCCAACAGAGCAGGGGCGTCCCTCTCTAACTTCAGGAAAGGAAACTTCTTGAAAACTTCTCTTCCGAGAACACTTTCTCTTATAACACCTCTAACATGCACTTCCTGTGCTCTTCTTCTTCTATCCCCTTACAATTATCATGTATTGACATGTATTTTTGTTAACTCTTACTTCTTTCCCTAGGTATTTACCCCATTGATGCGACATGTGCTATTAGCTCAGTCGTCTAGCCGTTACAATTTGGCTCTTGTCAAAACCAATAAAATCTTTACACTTGCCCATTTTCCTGATTCTAACCATCAACTTTGAGGACAAAATGTTCACTCGCTGCCTAATATATGGTGCCATGGTAACGAGATAATCAGTGTTATTCACATCACCTGTCAGTGGTCATAATGTTGTGGCTGATTGGTGTATATTCGCACATCATTGCTTTGACTGTGTGTGTGTGTGTGTGTGTGTGTGTGTGTGTGTGTGTTCATGTGTGAGAGACAGAGATTAAGAGGCAGGATGACAGAAATTGAGAAATTCCATCTATCAATACCATACAATTTAAAGAACTTATAACGATGATAACAATAAATTAAGAATAATCCTAGGAGGAGGACATACAGCAAACCTTGCCGCCAAGTATGTGTCCCTGTGTCTCAGCCTGAGGGACAGCGAGGGACTCTTGCACCATGGTAACATTGTTTTAAGAGGTCATATTATGCTTTTTGGCTTTTCCCCTCTCCTTTTATTGAGTTATATACTTTTATACCAAAGTCCAGCCCAAAGGGAGTTCCCATCTCCCACAAAAAACTCTGCGCTGAACTGCCTGAAAACCGCTCGTTTGTTGTCCAGCCTTTTATCTCTGATCTTTGTGACATACCAGCAAAACATGTCATAATAATCGCCTATGGCTAGTCAGACACACCCTCAAAAACACAGGTGGAAAAACACACTGAGCTGCAGCACACAGTGACATCCGCCTGTTGCCTCCTCTCTACCTACCAGACACTCAATGTACGTAAAGTTGGTACTGTGATGTAGAGACAGAGCTCAGTTAAAACTTTATGGATAAAGATACTTTTGTTACAGATTAATAACTCACCACTCTGAAACTATTGCTCCAGTCCATGTTGCTAAACTGGTAAGGGGATATACAGCTGAACCAAAGCCTTGTTTACCGGCTTCTCGCTGACCCGACCTTCTCTGCTTCTGATTGGCTAGTGGTCCTTAACTAGGAACTGCGCATGTGCAAAGCCCAACAAAGATCATGTAGAGGCAAGATGTATCATTCCATAGCTAATAGTGTGTTTTTTTTAATAAATGAAAACATGTAAACCTGTTCTGGTACTGTTCTGAACCTGAAAATTAGCATAATATGACCTCTTTAAATGAAACATTCATGCCAATAAAGCGCACTGAACTGAACTGAACTAGAAAAAAGATAAGAATGTTTTCAGGGATAACAGTTATCATCCATCTGTCTGTCTCTCTGCCTCAACAAACCCTGACTGCCCGACTCAAAAGAGACACTGAGTAAAATACAATGTGACCCATTGATACACAGAAAACAGCTTTGACACTCCTGCTCTCTTTTTATGGAACATTCATATTACAAACTATGGAAACTATGGTTTGGTTTTCTGAGAGTAATGGAGACTTTATTTCTTCAGAACAACACATTCAATGGCTTAGTTTCCATCCAAGTGTTTTTTAAAGTGATTTATGATGTTTTCACTCAATAAGGCTGCATGAAAATGAACACAGATCAGTTTTCCTGCTGGTTTGAAGCAGAACCACTTTGTTGTTGAGGAAAGAATAAAATTTTTCACATAGTTGACATGGTGACTCATTTTATTTGCATTTTTAATTATATTTTAAATAATAATGTATCAAATGACAATGTGAAAATAATGTGATGTTGTGAAAGGGGTTGCTCGTAATGATGAACCTACAGACAATTATCACACACATCTGTTGCTGCCCTCGGCTTTATGAAGGTTTACAGTAAGTTTCAGCTCATTGTTTAGCTGCCAACCTGTAGCTTTACTGTTCTGGTTCGCTCTCACTGCTCTCATTGTTTTCAGCCACAGCAGGCAGCTGTTTTCAGAAAAAAAACTCTATGAACACATTGTACACTACCTGCTCAGCACTAAACAACAGACATACAAAGTTGGTGGAGCCAAAAAGCCAGATATGTCTCTAAGAAGTTACCTAGAGAAAACAGAGCTAAAAGAGTGACTATTGAAGTTACATTTGCCAGGCAGATAGAAAACACGACTTCAAAATAATGATAATGTTACTCCATATTTGTTGGGTAGATAAATAAGCAACTGTTTGCCATTTCAACTTAAAAGGTGATGATGATATGTCAGTGTTGTGTTCACAACTTGACTGCCTCCAAGTTGCCAAACAAAATCAGCAATTCAGATAAATAATATCATTTTTGGAATGTTATATACTGTGTCCATTGCAGGTCAGTCTGACTATCTGTGATCATGCTATTTTGGTCAATACAGTACTATGATAAGGATTTTTATCAGTAGGGTAAGATACAAATGTATTGATCCCCCAGAGGGGAACTGCACATGTTACAGCATTATAAGTTACAGCCTAAAGAGGTGGGAAACAGATACACAACAAAATAAGAAATTAAGAAGTTAATCAAATCACAGTTAAAAGCTAGTTATATGCATTACATTTCCTAGGCCATAGCTGTGCGCATTGTACAGGTAGCGTATGTGCAGTGGATATTT